AAAAAAAAAAAAAAAAGCAACTTCTTGGAACCAGGAAGCAGCCATCACCAGATACCAAATCTGCCCATGACCTTTCTTAGGCTTGAAACCTCTGGAATTATGAGAAATAAATGTATACAAGTCACCCAGTGTTTGGTAACTTATTATAACAGCCTAACGGATTAAGAGAGTCTACCTCTGTATTTCTCTAAGAAGCTTCAGTTTTATTAAGGAAATAGAATATATGTGCATATTCTAGTATTAAAACTGTATGTATTTATTTTAGGGGCTTTGGGAAGTTAGACCAAATTATTTCACTCACTCAAAGTGCACAGATTTGCTGTCTTCCATGTGGCTGGCATTATAAGGTAAGAATTTTGATGCATTTCATAGCAAAACATCTGTCAAGGTCCCAGGGGTCTGTACATAAAGTGTAGACCTAATTGAATGAATAATTCTATATCTTCAGTCACTTGCACAATACCTTCTACTCCCACTTCCTGAACAAACAGGTTATAAGGAATTAATGTTGGATGGTCATATCCTCACCATTTAAAAAGTTTGTGTCAGTATGAAACTCAGAACTTCTGATCAAAACCCAGCCAAATTCAACCCAAAGATGCTTGAACACATTAAAATTCAAGAATATCTAGTTGCATTGAGATAAAACACCTGACCCAGGAATTTAGCCCAGAATTGTATTACCCCATCTTACCAAATTGCCTTTAAAGTATATTTTAGTGCAACAGAAATGCTCCTACTTTTACAAAATATCAGAAAATAACATTTAAGCCCTTTTAAAGCAAGGGAAGGAAAATCTTCTATTCTTGCTCTCTCAAGGTCAGACAGGTAGCATGCAGGCACAAAACATTATTGATATAAAAAAAAGATTTAACATAAGTGAAGAGAGAAACACAGCATGAACTAAATGTTGTTCACACCGGGTAAGCCAAGAAAATCTTTTGCCTCACTTGGAATTCTAAGGAGTTCATTAATTCTAATCCTTATTTTGTGTCACCCCACCATCTCATGAATGAATCCAGAATGACTCACTGTCTATTTTACACACCCCATTGCTCTTTGATATAAACAAGACAGATTTTTCCTACTCTAAAATTCTGCAATTTATATATATTTGCTGACCTTCTGCAGTGGTTCCCAGACCTATCTGCTGGTTTGTTGACTGTATGTTTCTGATATTACCAGTATAATTTTGCCAGGCACACTCCATTGTGTCTCTTGTGGCCGACAGCATTTCATTCAACATCCATTCCAAAGAAGAGCACATTTGTCACAAATGTTGTCAGCCCCTGGGTCCTTAAAAGTAGAAAATTACTTTAGGCATGTAAGTGACACCCTAGACTTCCAGCTACCACCCAATACGGCAAATGAGCCACATAGCACCATGAGGTACATACCCAGTCTTCCAGCTTCCAGGAAGGACAGAGTACTGGAAGTGGAGGCCAGCACCCATCAGGCCAACCACAATCCTCTTCACCAGAATTATGGTTTACTGGTGTAAGAAGACTGATTGAAAATTAGTATTTGACTGATCTCTTTCACTTCAGAGATTTCTCAAGATCTTGAACAAACTTTTTAAGAGTATGACATTTTTATAAAGTTGGGATGTTTGCCAATCATTGTACACCTGGGCATTGAAGCATACTAAGAATGCTGATTTAGAAGTCAAAAATTTTAGGTGCTTGGTGAGATAAACACAAGTAAGCATGGATCCCCTTCTAGTCTTGGCTAAGGAAGGAAACAGAGATTACAGAATCTCTGCACAGGGCTGATGGAGTGGCTCAAGTGGTAAGAGAACCTACCTAGCAAGCACGAGGTGCTGAGTTCAAACCCCAGTGCCACCAAAACAAAACAAATAACCCTCCGAATCTCTACACAGACAGAAAGGTGATGCCTAAACTGCTTTGAACCTGACACTCTACTTAGTGTTTTCACCTGCTAATATTCAGAAATTAGGAGATGCCACTAAACATGGGGAAGAAGAAAAGACCTAAGAGAAACAGATTTTTGTTCAAAGTTAATTTCTTAGAAGACTCTTTGAGAGCTATTATTTTATATGCTTACTTTGTGTCTTTGTAATTTAATTTCAAAAATGACTACAGAAAATAAATATTCCTCCATATTAGGAACACTCCAGCCAGATTCCACCCCTTGTTCTTGGTGTGAGCCAAGAATCAGCAGGCACAATTTTCTACACCTCTCCAATTCAAATCTATGAAAACCAAAATGAACACATACAGCTGCTTTGGTCAACTTCCTGCTGCTGAAGAAAAGTCACAATTTTCTCTTTCTATCATATCACCAGAAAAAACAATAATAGTCTCAGTTTTTACATTTTATGTACAAAGGTACATTTTGATGGTGTTTTCTTTTGATTATACAGTTGTCATGTCTGTAACTACTATCATTTTTGTGAAAGATTTGTAAAAAGAAAATTATTCATTGACATTCCTTTTCTGCAGAGGAAAACAGTAGAATTTGGGGACAATTGAGTTGGAAATTTACAAAGTGGATCTACCAAATTGACAACTTCTAAGTATGTGTGTGTGTGTGTGTGTGTGTGTGTGTGTGTGTGTGTGTGTGTGTGTGTTTGGGGAGCCATGGGGATTCCAATAGCCAAACTTAAATGAACACAGCAAGGAACAGAGTGTCAATGCCAGAACTACTTTTTAGTGCCAGAAGGGTTCCTGCTTGATCCACTGGGGTTGCTGTCACCTCAGGGTTATTTGACAGAGTTGTAATTTGTAAGAGGTTTGAAGAATCAGTTGAGGAGAAACTAGGAGTTGCAATACCACTCTGACTACCTGCAGGTGTAAGAGGTAATGTTCGGTTTCATCAGAAAACAAGAAAACAGGAAAAGTTAAGTAAATTAAACTGAAAGACTTAACTCAAACTTGAACTGAACTGAGGTTATTCAAATGCAATATTAGGCACAAAATATTCCTGTGGCCCAAGATGCAGTTTGAACTGAGGTCAAACAGTTGCATTACTTTATAGTATGAAGAGTTTTCCTGAATCCTTTAGGTTTGATTGGAGCTCTAACTTTCTGAAGACAATGCATCAGATCTCCAGAAGTGCATGATTTGCAACATGGAGGTGTTGTTTATTTCAAAAATGAGCACACGGTTATACTGAACCAGCTGTTTGATCTGAGTTCTGCCTTGCACAGGAATTCTGGTAATGCACAAAGGAGTGTCTTGTAGGTTAGAGTATGTACCTCATTCATTGATCAAGTGTTTGTTAAGTGTCTTCTGCAAAGAGATTGTGATGGAAGCTGGATATTGTATGCTGGGTTTTGAAAGCACTGGCTACCAAATACCTTCGCCACTGTGATCTGTAGACAGTCAGCCAGACTCAGGTGCAAATGTCAACTTTGCCACTTACAGCAATGTGACTCAGTCTTCAGAGAGTCTTCTGAGCCTGACTTCATTATTTGGAGGATAAGTAAGACGATCAACATGAAACACATTTATCAGATGACCTGGAACAGAACAAGCAATTCACATTGCAAAGAAGATTTCTTTTTGGTATTTTGCTACTGGCAGAGCTTCAGGGGAAGGCCCTTTGGTTGTGCTGTATCAGATCAGTTCTGGGAAGGTAAAACTGAGTGTGCAGCAGTTTCATGTGCGAAGTGTACAGATCCTGCAGGTGGAGAAGAGTGAGAAGAAAGTGGTTGTCCCATCTGGAGGGTGAAGGGGTGACAGAGAAATAGAAAAGCCAAGTGAAGAGTTGTAAAGAAGACAGACTGTGTAAATGCACAAATTCTCCGGGGATGGTGAACAGACAGGCATTGCAGAACTGTGATTTTTAAAATATTGAGTTACATGCTATTTTCTTTGTTTTAGGGTAAACTTTGTGGCTCTGTTCTCTGTTACTATAACAAACACCTGGAATGAATAAACATAAAAGGAGGAAAGGTCTATTTTGGCTCATAGTTTTCAGAGGTTTCAGTCTAAGGTCATTTGATCCTATAGCTATTGGGCCTTTAGTGAGGACACAATGTGACAGGGATCACATGGTAGAGCAATATGTTCACCTTATAGTGACCAGGAAGTGAGAGAGAGAGAGAGAGAGAGAGAGAGAGAGAGAGAAAGGAGGGGCTAGAGTCCAAAGGACATGCCCTCCAAAGACCTAACTTCCTTGCATTGGCCTAACCTCTTAAATGTTGAGAGGTCCAGTACCTCTCAATAGTACCTCAGGTTAAGGAGCAAATTTTTAACACAGGAGCCCTTGGGAAAATTTTAGATTCAAACCATAGCATCCTCACCTCTTCTCCAGCTCTTAAATACCATTCATCTGTTTATCTCCCTGGTCTGGGTGTAATACCCAAAGGCTACATCTTGTCCACTTTGCATTGTGATCAAGTCAGTTCAAAGAGCCCTGCAAGAGTGTACTTGAGTCTCTAACAGCTCTTCCTACCCTTCAACATTGTTTCAATGCCTCTCCCAGTGTTATTTGGTCCAGAGGCCACTTGGCATCTGGAAGGAGACATGCTCCTGCTCAAATGGAGTCGGAGTC